TCTGGAAGTGGACCTGAAGTGAGTTCAGCAGGTGAGAATCCTCCCAGACGAATCTGCTCCATCATCAGGATCACTCTGATCACATTGTGCTGTGTCACTGTTCACCTGGACAGGTCACATGACTCTTGAAGCTGATTCTTAATGTCTGTTTGAAGTAGTGTGTATCATTTCTCTCTCAAAGTCAAAGAGTTAAAGAGGAGTGATTTTAGAAAGATTCAGTGTTTCTTGAGTAGAAAGAGCAGCAGTTTGATTGTTTTCTTGGATCACATCATCAGTAAAGAATATAAGACGTGTCTAAACCTGTCCGAGTTACGGTTCACGTCACTGAGGTGTTTTATTTGTTTAACTCTTAACACTCTGAAGTTGAGTGCATGGAGGAAGTGTGAAGCGCTAAGATACAGCCACCTTCAAACACTGACACTGACCTGGTTTCACTGAAAGTCCTTTATCACAGGTCAGCTCCCAACTGTTCCACAGGCTTCAAAATCCTTCTGATTATTTGAAATGTTAAGATTCATACAAATTCTGCCTGGTCTTCTAAAAAAGATGTTCCTACAGTACATCCAAAGTGCATAAAAAAAATGTCGTTTTGAGGAAAACTTATTATTTTGTTTTCACATATCAGAAATACATTTCTAATCTGAGTATTGAGAATGTTTCTTTTAATAAAGTCTGTAACGGTATTCACGGACAGAGATGGAGCACTCGAGTTCTGGACTCAGACTCGACTCAGACTTGCGCACTGATTGACTCGGACTCGTGAATTCTCGCGCACGATGAGACTGAGGTGTGTCCACACAGCAGCTTTGACCAAATCTTTAAAATCCTGGAGCTGGGCGTGTCTGACAGCTTGGGGATTTTGCGACCAACAACCAATCACATGAATATCACATGAATATCCCGCCCCCGACATACAAAGCAAAAAACCCCGGTTCTTCTACACTATTGTCAAATAGGAAGGGCTATGATGAACATTTATTTTTTTAACATTTTGAACATTTATGAGATTAATGTTGATGGTGCTATTTTATGCTACATTCCATGCTGGCTAATGATACTGTCTATGCTTGCTAGCAACGAAGTAAACTAGCAACGAAGTAAACTGGATATAAAATCCCCAAACAAGCGAAAACCTACCAGTTTCACCCACTGCCTCTGCCACCTCCCTCCATGCCTGGTTCCTCCGGTTTGTATCCCGGTAAGTAAATAGGGACTGGTCATAAAGAACCGGGTGATTTGCTACCGCAATAACTAACTTCTCCTCCATTTTTGTGGAATATAGAATGAACTGCGGTCTGGTTCTCCCAGCTTGCACGCGGTTTGATTGGCTAGCGCTTGAACTGTCAGATTTGCATAAACGGATCTGATTGGCTGTCGCTTCCAGCTCAGCCTCAAAAGTTGAACATTGTTCAACTTTGGAATCCTGAACATCCTGGAAATCCTGGAAATCTTCGCCTCGCCCCCCCACAATGCAGTTCGGCAACAAGCGAGGGAAAGTGACGTCATCCCCATTCAAAGTCAATGGGCGGAGACGCGCTGGAAGCGGTGGACAAATCGCCAAAAGCTGCTGTGTGTACGGGCCGTTACTCGACTTGTACATTGACGCTCCGACTTGGACTCGGACTCGAGCAAGTTTTGTCTCGAGTCAGATGTACTCTGTCCTAGCGTGTGTGTGCATCTGCGAGGAGAGTTCAGGTACTGGGCGCGACCCTGCTATTCCAGTCTAAAGAGTCCAGAGACACCCCGCATCAGGCTGTATGCTTTCACACATTCTGCTTCCACATTGGAAAAGAGCATCGTAAAGGTTGAAAAAAGATTGAAGAGAAGGCTCCATAACACATTACTCTGAGGATAGAGTTCAGACATACAGGCTGTCTTGAACACTATCATCAGAGTAACGTGATCTAATCAATAAATAAAGATTCAGCCGATAACACGAAAGCATGGCTACTTAGCATGCAGAATGACTGCATGCTAAGTAGCCATGTGCTTTCTGGGGCTTAATTGTATTGATATAATTTAAATGTTCACTTGTTGGCTGTTGGACATTGTGATAGAATATTTATTATAATAATAATATTAGCAATACGCTTTATATAGCACCTTTTATACAATAATTGTAGCCAGACTGGCTTCACAGCAGTTCAATAGACAAATAAAAAACTATTTGTTTCTCCGAATCGAAGGGGAAAAATACAAAAGCATTGCACACAATTTAAACCAATCAATGTTGTGTAATTAACAAGGATAATCTGGTGTTTTTTAGTTGATGAGTAGTGCAGATATCACTGTAAAATCAATCGACAGTAAGGAGAATATGTACTTCCGGGTGTAAAATCCTCCGTTATCCAATGGGAATGGACGCTCACATTGCCTTTAAGGGCCGCCGACATGGACCGATGCGGTGCTTCCCTGAGCGTCAAATACCGCCGCCGATGGGAATACATTGCAATCAGTTGAAAGCTCTTTGCGTCCGTTTATGAAGCTGAAGGAGACTCGGCGCGTCACTGGACGCCACGGGACCCTGACCAAGCGTCGCTCCTGGACGTTCAGGGAGTCAGACTGTGTTGTGCTAATCAATATCTTGTTTGTGCAGATACGATAAGTATTAAGGGTGTTAGCATTTTTTCGATCAGGGCTAATTCAGAGCCTTTGTTATAACCCTTATATTTCGTTTTGCTAAAAATGGTTAATATTGTCTGATAACTGAGTTTCTTCCCGTTAAGCGGGTATGACACATTAATAGGTTTTTAAATCTTAAGAAGCCCTCAGACGCTGTTTCTTGCAGATGTTGCGATGTTTCCCCCGCCCGCGGGGGAATGGGGCTTAACAGGCCAGGTGACTCGCACTTGGACTCGTGAATTGGTGATTTGACTACAACACTGTCACGTAACAAACTACACATTGGCCTAACCTTGTTTTTTATTTTAGTATTAGCTTTGTTGATTTATTGTTTTGTGTTCTACTAATTTACAAAATAACCACATGTTTCAAATTGATAAAAATCCAGGAGAAAATCAATTTCACTTCAAAACTGTGCACTTTAGTTTTATAGAAACATTGTTTGTGACATTAAGTTTGTTGCTCTTTGCGTGTCAAAAGTAATACATTATCTCAGTTTGATAACAGTATTTAACAGCATTTCAAGTGGTTTTGTTTGTTTCAGGATCCAACCTTTACCTGGACCTAGTACTGGATCTGGATCTGGATCTGGTCCCAGCTGTGTGTCCTTTAAGAGTGACTGGTCTATGGCCAGACCTATTGACTTCAAAGATGGACACCCATCATCTGATCAGAGGTCGTAAATAGCTTTATTGTTATCAGTTTTTGAACATTCAAAAGGCAAAAATAAAAAGTCTGATTAATTTTCAGCATAATTTTGCAATAATCAGTGTTAGTGATCATTTCAGGATTCAACATGTAACCTTTGGACCTAGTCCCAGCTGTGTGTCCTTTAAGAGTGACTGGTCTATGGCCAGACCCATTGACATCAAACATGGACACTCATCAGATCACAGGTAAGAAATGACTTCCCGGTTTGTTATCAGTATTCATTATTATGTTCAGATGACTTTCAGTGTTCCTTTGCACTTCTCTGTGTTTGTGATTCTACCAGGATCCAACACGAGAAACCTGAACCCAGTCCCAGCTGTATGTCCTTGAAGAGTGACTGGTCTATGGCCAGACCTATTGACTTCAAACATGGACACCCATCAGATAAGAGGTAGTAAATAGCTTCCCAGGTTTGTTATCACTCAACATTTGAAGTATTCAAAGATGGACCCCCCTCAGTCGATCCAAGGTCAAACTAATGGAGGGGTATCTTATTATGCATTTTGTATTATGTCTTCATTAGGCACTTGATCCCCTGCTGATTTAAGTGTGCAATACAACACCAATTATTTATACAATTTCCAAATTCATTGCAGGTTTCTAACTGAACTCATCTTGAGGAAACAACTTTTGCAACTTTTCTTCACAGAGTTCCTCAGCAGAGCTTAAAGGTCCCCACTGGTCAGTCTGCGGAGCAGCATCAATCTGACCTGGACTCCATATTCATGGTGTGTAAATGTAGAAGCAGAGCTGCTCCTGCTGACTCCAGCAGCCTCACTCCGTCGTGAAGCAGCATTGTGATCCAGAGTCCAGGCTGCAGTCTGCAGATAGTCAGGCTTTCTGTCTCACACATGATCTGATGTTGACTTCTACCAGTTCAACTCTACAACTTACTCTGTTCCAGCTGCTCCAGGAAAACATCGTCAGATTTGTGGAGGACGAGCTGAAGAAGATCCAGAGAGTCCTGAGTTCAGATTACCCAGAAAGCTTAGAGAGTCAGAGCGAGGATGAGGAGGTGTTGGACGGTGAGGACGAAGAGCAGAGGAGGAGCAGCAGAGAGGCATTTCTGAACATCACCCTGCACTTCCTGAGGAGCATGAAGCAGGAGGAGCTGGCTGAGCGTCTGCAGAGCAGTAAGAGGGTTTAACACATTGAACATGACATTGGGACAGAAATATACTTTTGCATTTAATCTATGATTGACTCTTTCCAGGAACCATCGCTGCAGTGTGTCAGCGTAAACTTAAATCCACCCTGAAGGAGAGGTTCCAGTGTGTGTTTGAGGGCATTGCTAAAGCAGGAAACCCAACCCTTCTGAACCAGATCTACACAGAGCTCTACATCACAGAGGGGGGGTCTGCAGAGGTCAATGATGAACATGAGGTCAGACAGATTGAAACAGCATCCAGGAAACCAGACAGACCAGAAACAACCATCAGACAAGAAGACCTCTTTAAAGCCTCACCTGGAAGAGATGCACCAATCAGAGCAGTGCTGACAAAGGGAGTGGCTGGCATTGGGAAAACAGTCTTAACACAGAAGTTCACTCTGGACTGGGCTGAAGGCAAAGCCAACCAGGACATCCAGTTCATATTTCCATTCACCTTCAGAGAGCTGAACGTGGTGAGAGAGAACAAGTACAGCTTGGTGGAACTTGTTCATCACTTCTTCTCTGAAACCAGAGACGCAGGAATCTGCAGGTTCGATCAGTTCCCGGTCGTGTTCATCTTTGACGGTCTGGATGAGTGTCGACTTCCTCTGGACTTCCTCAACACTGAGATCCTGACTGATGTCACAGAGTCCACCTCAGTGGATGTGCTGCTGACAAACCTCATCAGGGGGAAGCTGCTTCCCTCTGCTCGCCTCTGGATAACCACACGACCTGCAGCAGCCAATCAGATCCCTCCTGAGTGTGTGGACATGGTGACAGAGGTCAGAGGGTTCACTGACCCACAGAAGGAGGAGTACTTCAGGAAGAGATTCAGAGATCAGGAGCAGGCCGGCACCATCATCTCCCACATCAAGACCTCGCGAAGCCTCCACATCATGTGCCACATCCCAGTCTTCTGCTGGATCTCTGCTTCAGTTCTGGAGGAGGTGTTGAAAACCAGAGAGGGGGGAGAGCTGCCCAAGACCCTGACTGAGATGTACATCCACTTCCTGGTGGTTCAGTCCAAAGTGAAGAACATCAAGTATGATGGAGGAGCAGAGACAGATCCACACTGGAGTCCAGAGAGCAGGAAGATGATGGAGGCTCTGGAAAACTGGCCTTTGAGCAGCTGCTGAAAGGCAACCTGATCTTCTATGAGTCCGACCTGACAGAGTGTGGCATCGATATCAGAGCAGCCTCAGTGTACTCAGGAGTGTTCACACAGGTCTTTAGAGAGGAGAGAGGACTGTACCAGGACAAGGTGTTCTGCTTCGTCCATCTGAGCGTTCAGGAGTTTCTGGCTGCTCTTCATGTCCATCTGACCTTCATCACCTCTGGAGTCAACCTGCTGTCAGAAGAACCAACAAACTCCTGGCTGCCTATAGTCTTCAGAGACAAACCTAAACTAACACATCTTTACCAGAGTGCTGTGGACCAGGCCTTACAGAGTCCAAACAGACACCTGGACTTGTTCCTGCGCTTCTTCCTTGGTCTTTCACTGCAGACCAATCAGATTCTCCTACGAGGTTTGCTGACACCACAGACAGGAAGTGGCTCAGAGATCAATCAGGAAACTGTCCAGTACATTAAGAGAAAAATCGAAGACACACCCTCTGCAGAGAGAAGCATCAACCTGTTCCACTGTCTGAATGAACTGAATGATCGTTCTCTGGTGGAGGAGATCCAACAGTACCTGAGTTCAGGAAGTCTCTCCACAGAGGATCTGTCTCCTGCTCAGTGGTCAGCTCTGGTCTTCATCTTACTGTCATCAGAAGAAGATCTGGACGTGTTTGACCTGAAGAAATACTCTGCTTCAGAGGAGGCTCTTCTGAGGCTGCTGCCAGTGGTCAAAGCCTCCAGGAAAGCTCTGTAAGTGGAGATAAAACTACATTAACCAGGAACAGGTTGGGACATGAGAATAAAACTCTTTGTGTTCACTGCTGATCTTTCCCCAGGCTGAGTGGCTGCAAGCTGTCAGAGAGAAGCTATGAAGCTCTGTCCTCAGTCCTCAGCTCCCAGTCCTCTAGTCTGAGAGATCTGGACCTGAGTAACAACGACCTGCAGGATTCAGGAGTGAAGCTGCTGTCTGCTGGACTGGAGAGTCCACACTGTGAACTGGAGACTCTCAGGTCAGAGTTCAGCTGATATGTTAACTGTCAGAGTGGTTTTGTTCAGCCATTTATATCGACTCATTTCCAGTTTTATCAAATTAGAATAATAATATATTTAGATTTCCTTTGGCTTGTTGTTTATTTTTCTTCATCTAAACAATAAACCACAAAACCATGATAACAATCTGATTATATTTGAAGACAGATGGCGTCACTTATCTACATCTCAATGTATCTGACTGATTGACCAACCCAAACTTGCACAGACAAACAGATGGTATCATTTGACAAAATAATTATAAAAGATGGTGTGACTGAAACCTTGCGCTCAATCACTTTTAATATTAAAGACATGTTGTCATATTTATTCATTTATTTCAAGGTTAACTGACTGTGACCTGTCAGAGAGAAGCTGTGCAGCTCTGTCCTCAGTCCTCAGCTCCCAGTCCTCTAGTCTGAGAGATCTGGACCTGAGTAACAACGACCTGCAGGATTCAGGAGTGAAGCTGCTGTCTGCTGGACTGGAGAGTCCGCACTGTGAACTGAAGTCTCTCAGGTCAGAGTTCAGCTTTTATTTTCAAGCAGTTTAATTATTTTCATCCATCTTTGTGTTCATGTTGATGAAGATGGTCCACCTCTGTATGATTTTCCTGCTGACGTGACTTTTAAGAACACTGAGTTTACTGTATTCCCTGGTTCCAGTCTGTCAGGCTGTCTGGTCTCAGAGGAAGGCTGTGCTTCTCTGGCTTCAGCTCTGAGCTCCAACCCCTCCCATCTGAGAGAGCTGGACCTGAGCTACAATCATCCAGGAGCCTCAGGAGAGAAGCTGCTGTCTGCTGGACTGGACGATCCACTCTGGAGACTGGACACTCTCAGGTATGGACACACTGACTGCAGGTTCCTCATATCTTTTAGGGAGTTAGCCTGATTTAGGAAACAAATGGATCCCTTCAAGTTTTATTACATGGAAACAACCATTCAGGGTTAGGAGATCCGACTCACACACTCTGTGGAGCAACACACTGCACGCAGGAAATGGACCAGGCCCACAGTGGAGGATTTTATACAAACCTCCCCTTAAAAAACGTACTGCTGACCAGTGTAGAATTTTACACAGTGCTATCGCTTTCAATTATTGTATCCCTGTTATTTTAACAAATGTCGATTTTGTGATTTTAGAAAGACTGTTTTCCATGTTGTTACAGAGTGCTAGAGACTCACAGGTTTCTTCTCTCTTCTAACATTGTTTTTTAGTCTCTTTAACTGAGAGCATTTTTATCATTGGCGCTGCCTACAAAAAAACAAATGGAAAAGTGGCAGCTCCTAAACTTATATATACTATATTTTTATTCATATAAAATAATGGCCGTCTGCCTTAGCAGGAAAAAGAGGGAGGAGAACAGAGAAGGAGGCCAAGGCCATCTGGCTGGAGTTTAAATTAATAAACAGACACTGTTAATCAACCTTGGTGAATTGCAAAAATATAAGATTGTTTTTATTTATAACTTTAAACAAACTTTCTTTTGCACAAGGAAGCACTTTAATTGAAGTATATGTACATTTGTTAAATAATATAAAAACACACAAAAAAAACAGACTGAGCTCTGCTTCAGGCTGAGCAGCAGCTAGGACTCTGTTGGACAGAAAATCATCCTGACTGTGTTTCTTCCTCCAGGCTAGACCATGGTGGAGAGCAGAGGTTGAGACCAGGTGTGAGGAAGTGTAAGTGTGGATCAGTCAGCTTCTCTCGAGAGACACAGATGATGGAGGTGGTATTTATTCATTTAAACATCAATGACGTTTATACAAATTAACCAAATCAGAAGAAGAACAAAAATACATCTCAGCCTCTGTCTCTCATCAGATTCCTGTGAACTCACCCTGGACTCAAACACAGCACACAGAAACCTCATACTGTCTGAGGACAACAGGAAGGTGACACGTGTGAGAAGAGAGGAGCCACAGCCATATCCTGATCATCCAGAGAGGTTTGACTTCTGGCCTCAGCTGATGTGCAGAGAAGCTCTGACTGGTCTGTTACTGGGAGGTCGAGTGGAGCGGAAGGGTTCATATATCAGTGACTTACAGAGGAAGCAGCAGGAGAGGAGCCGGTGATGAATGTAGGTTTGGAGAGAATGATCAGTCCTGGAGTCTGAGATGCTCTGATGGTCGTTACTATGTCTCGCACAATAAAAGAAGAACAGACATCCCCTCCTCCTCTTCCTCTTCCTCCTCCTCCTCCTCTGGTAGAGTAGCAGTGTATCTGGATCATCCTGCTGGCTCTCTCTCCTTCTACAGAGTCTCCTCTGACACACTGATCCACCTCCACACCTTCAGAACCACATTCACTGAACCTCTCTATGCTGGGTTTGGGCTCTGGTTCCATGACTCCTCAGTGTCTCTGTGTCCTCTGTAGGAGGAGACCACTTCCTGTCCTGGGGTTTAAACGCTGGTGGTGTACGAGGCTTCACTATAGTTAACATTTGGCTCAGTGTTTGTGCCTTTTTAGTCAAGAGCGTTATTTTATTCCTCAAAATGTTGAAGTATGAAATAACAACGTTTACTTTGAGCAACATGTAGCTGCTAATGTGTTTGCCGATTGTAACTGAATTTAATAAAGGTTTACAGAAAAGACCACATTAATATGACAAATGTGATCTTTGTATTCGTGAACTTCATGGAGTTGACTGTTTGATATAAGAATGCAGACTATTGGCCCAACAGTGCCTCACACGGGGAACCAACCTGATTTGGTTACAACAGCTAAAAAAGGCATCAAATGGCTCTCAGACGTAAATACCCAAATAGTTATTATTAACATCGCTCAATGTGAATTAATTTCCGTTAAATCATGTCATGGGGGACCATCCTTTCAGAAAGGAAGATGTTTGATAATAATCAATAATAATAATACATATTTCATAATTTTATAAATAATGAAATCATTCACTCCAACCCACGGTTATCAAATGAAGAGCTAGTAAAGGCTGAAATATATAGCATCTAATTTCCCAACAATACTATGTGACATGATCCGCTGGAGGAGCGTTACGCTATAAACAAACTGCATGACTTTTCCTTTATTTTGCGCTTTTACCCACCAAACTCATTTCTATGCTTAAAACCTCTTAAGCCCCAAGCCTGTTTTTCAGGTTTCAGGCTCGAAAATGACATGCCCAAAACAAAGGACTATAACTTAACTTCTAAAAGGGTTATATGAATAATTTCTTTTATCAAAGCAAGGTCACATCTGTGAGTTGGATGTAGAAGTGTCAGAATCAATAAAGATGTTTCAGTGTCAGAGTAAATCCAGATGGAACATAGTCAAAAAGTGTACATTTTTGTCTCCGCCCAAATAAAACCCATTACTTATAGTGAAAACCACCCTTGAATGATGGGTTAGTAG